TATTTCGTTTTGTTTGATTTCCGTAATTTGTTCTCATATCGTCAATATGTTGAAACCCTAACCCCAAATTCTTCACTATCTATGCGTAATCCATGCATTTGTTTCATCGTATTCCTCAAACTTGAGGATTTTACACGTTGTCTTGCAACTTCTTTCCCTTTTTTTTTTTTTTTTTGTTGTTTTTTGGTCGATTTAACTATATTGTTAGGAATTGGATTGATTGCTGCTGGGATTGTTGAGTTCTGGCTCAGTTAGTTAGAATTATCAAAATAAGGATAACAGATACAAACTAATACAACCCTAAGTTGCGCCCTAAAACTGCAAAAAAATGAAAGATGTTTAGTAATCCACCGCAATCCCTGTGGTGGAGTTGAGGAAATGCTACCAAGATTTGAGAAACTGATTTATTTGTCTTGGTTGGTAGTGATTTGACATCAGATCACAATAAAGGAAGCGAAAACATAAAATCTGACGTTGTGAGCACAGAGAGCAGCGGATCATCCACTGATGTCACTGTTACCACTCTTGTTGGTGGCCCTGTGCTCAGCCTCATCAACAAACGCCTCCGAAACCAATGCAAGAAATTCAACCGAATCCTCCACATGGAAGAGCTTCTTGCCCAGGGCAAGCCTCTCAACAAAGACCAGGCACAACTCTTAAGGTCCAAGCCTGCCATCTTTGCCCTTATTGATGAGCTCGAGAAACTCAGAAATCTGCTCGCCTCTACTGTGTCTGAAGAAATTTCCCTTGCCCTTCAATGCCATGCCATTTCTGGAAAAAATGACACTAGTCAAGATCAAGATCAAGACCAAGAGAAAGCTTCTGAGGAGAAAGAGTCCAAAGCACACAAAGAGCTGCCAATGTCTGTGCCTTAATCCTCTCTCTCTTTTGTGTGTGTGTGTGTGTGTGTGTGTAACATTATTTGATTCTTATGATAACTTTTATTTCTTTTGGTTGGTAGAGATTCAAGATCAGGTCACAAGGAAGAGAGCACGAAGATCAAATCTGATGTACTTGTGAGCGTAGTTAGCCAGCGATTTTCCTCTGACGTCGCTGATACCACTCTTGTTGGTGGCCCTGTACTCAGCCTCATCAACAAACATCTCCAAAACCATTGCGAGAAATTAAACCAAATACTCCAGGTGGAAGAGTTTCTTGCCCAGGGCAAGCCTCTCAGCACAGAACAGGCACAACTCTTGCAGTCCAAGAGTGCTGTCTCTGCCTTCATTGATGAGCTTGAGAAGCTCAGAAAGCCACTCGCCTCTGCTGTGTCTGAAGAAATTTCCCTTGCCCTTCAATGCCATGCCATTTCAGGAAAAAGTGGCACTTGTCAAAATCAAGACCAAGAGAAAGCTTCTGAGGAGAAAGAGTCCAAATCATACAAAGAGCTGCCAATGTTTGTGCCTCTATCCTCCTTTTGTTTATTTATTTATTTTTGTAGAAAACAATTTCTTTGATTCCTAAGATGTTTTTTGTTAGATGTGACTGATTTGTTTCTCTTGGTTGGTAGTGATCCAAAATCTGATCACGATGGGAGCACAAAGGATGTCATGAGCACAGAGTGCAGCGGACCCTCTCAAGTTGATCAGCAAAATGAAGGGAATGCTTTGCCTTCAAGGTAAGCGGAAGTCAGAATATATATCCAATGCTACTAGCATCAACCAGTAATGTTTAACTGTTTTCATCTATGATTCATGTCCGCTGGCCATTGTTTGGTTTTACTGGCTTCAAGTTCTTTTACTAAATTAGAATTTAGCATTTGGTAACTGATGGGAGCCAAATTTTGAATATAAAAAATTACATTATGGTTATTGTTCCAGGACGGGCCTGAAGCAGAAGGATAGGAAATGGAAGATATGGTGTAAGAATTATTTGGAGGAGAATTCAAGGTTGCTTTGTAAGAAGATGATGCTAGAGCTGGAGTTCGAAAGTCTCAAACTTTCTTCTGTTGTCTATCAGCTCCGTGTGTCTCTAATTGATCACTTGCCGACACTGTTAGAATTTTTACTCTCTGTCTTCTAGTCAAGCTTTATATTCCTAAGAATTTTCTTTTGTCAACGCTGAACTAATTTATCTTGGTTGGCTGGTAGTAATTGTGATTCTTACATGGATCTAAAGGAAGAGGATCTAGAAGAAGAGAATTCTTTAGTTGATCAGCAAAACGAAGAGTTTTCTTTGTCTCCATGGGCAGCTGAACAATTAGGGATTTCCAACAACGATAAGTAATGTTTCTCTGCTTTCATTTGTCATTCAAGTTCACTTATTATTTTCTTTCATTGGTTTCAAGTCATTCTACTATAGAATTAGACTTCTGCATTTGGTTACTGGCGGAGGCCAAATTTTGAATATAAAAAATCACGACTAGTGATGGTGCAGTATGGAAGAGGTAGACTGGAAGAAGTGGTGCTGGATATTGAGGGGAAGTAATATGTGGTTGATGGAGATGTTGAAAGTGTATCAAGATG